GTAGCTTCCCCGCAGTGGCCTCCCTCAGCCTCCGGACCCCCGCCAGAGCCAGGGCGGTCCCGCCCATAACGAGTCCCGGCTTCGTGTAGCAATAGGCATGAACAAAGCCATATCCTACCGCAGTAAGGCGTGAGAGGAAAAGTAGTCCGCCGCCCCCTGCTGCGTTCTCTTAGGCCTTCTTGCTAATCCCGGGCATGAGCTACTGGGCCGTCCCCTCTCTGCCACTTGGTCCCACTCCCTTCTCTCTTGTCCTAATCGCCGAGGCCCAGAAAAAAAAACAACCCGGTGGATACAAGAAACATGCAGAGTACCTCAAAAGTGGCACTTTAAATGTCATCAAGGGGTAATAACCTAATAAGAAGTGAGTTATGATGTCATCTGGGACAAAGGAAATGGGGCTCTTACGTTATTCGATACAAAGGAAGCCAGGCTGGTCCTGGCAGGGAGTAAATGCTAATCTTTGGGAAATCAGGACTCTGCCCCCAGCCAGGAGGTGAAGGAGGGCTTAAAACTAAACTAGTGTTAATACTTTGTTCTTGCCAAGAGGGGGTAGGGTGGGAATACAGTGACACAGCACTGAGAAGGTAGAAGGAAATTTGATGGCAGATGTATAACATGGTCAGGGTGGCCCTTGGAAAGCACAGTTGGGCTGTGCTTTGCAGGAAATAGTGACAGCCTTTAGGTCATGGTAGAGTCATGGGGCTGACCTAAAAAGCTCTGGGGATAGACTTTTGAGCCTTGAGCAGGACTTCCTACCTGGGAGTGGAGGACTGCAGTCTTCCTCCTGGCAATAATCTTAAAGCAATAATGATGGCCCCTTTTCTGTAAGACTTTCCAGGGAACTGTAAATAAACTCTCAGCTTGATCCTCACTCATCTCGTTTGAAACTGCCTGGTGGGGGGAGGTTGGGAAGTTAGGATCTCGGCCTCACATATCTGATTCCTAGCCCCCTGCCATTAGAAAGCTCCAGTACTCGCTTTCTCTCCATGGCTCATTTACCCCAGTGACCCGGGCATCCTGCTCCTAGGCACTGCTCTCATCAAGGACCCAGACACCAGACACCCCAGGCCCCAGTTTTCTTCCTTCCTTCAGTCACCACGTTCATTAGGACCCAGAGGTCTGGCTTCATAGGTTTGTTGCTCCTCCCTCTGACACCCTTGCCCTTGTTTTGTTTTGTTTTGTTTTGAAAGTTCTAATTGCCACACTTCTTGTTTGCACTTCTCATTTCCCTCTTGCCTGATACCCACACATATACCAAGGAACTATCTGGGTGGCTTTTGTGTGGCTGAATGGGAGGGGCAGTTCTGAGGTTGAGGCTTTGGGATTTGGTGAAAGAGAGGTAAAAGGAAAACTGGTCTATGATTGAGATGATACAGAGAGAGGGAAAGGAGTCAAATGGGATTATGTCAGATTTTGCCTGTCATTCTTCCCCAAAGAACTCTGATTTCCCTGGGAGAGAAATTGAGTGGAAAGTTACAACCTTTAAAGATCACAAGGCAGGGGAGGATGAGCTCTGCCTTCCTTAAAATACAACCTCACCATCTCCCTTCTCTGTATCCTCACCCCTCCTTGATCCTAAAGCTGGGAGAGCAGAGTAAAACCAATTTCCAAAAGAGAGAAGTCGGCAGCATGCCATTTACTGGGTTAGCAACCAACTGGATCAACTAATGAACACTTACATCCACTCCTGTCATCTCCCACTCATCTGGGAAGACTGTGGAGGAAACAAAAAGGTAAAATGTACGACTAAACTATGATTAGTTATTCTGTAACAAACATACAAGAATTTATATTCAAAATAGTACTCTCCTTAAATAGTTACCTTGGAGGGCTATGTACTTATTTTAATGAAGCCTCCCCCATTGCTCAAAACATTTAAAAAACTCCTCTTAGAATTACCTTTACAGGCAGTTTAGAAACCCCTTGTAAGAAACCTTCCTTTACTGTCACACCTCATTTACCATATTTATCACTCACTTCATTCATTCATTTAACAAGTGTTTATTCATGGACTCCTACTATGGTACGTCACAGGGATACAATGGTGAACAAAACCAGACTCAGAACAACCTTCGTGGAGTTTTCAGATGGGAGAGACAAACAAATAACCCCCAAACAAACACAAACTTCGGTTGTCTAAAGTCCAGAGGAAAGCACATGGTGTGCTGACGACCAGAGTCTTCAGTGGGTGCTTGACATGGTGAGGCTGCACTGAGAGCTGAAGGATGAGCAGGTGTTACTAAGGTGAAAGCAAGAGGGTTAGGGGAACAGCATATGAGAAAGCCTTGTGGCAGAAAGGAACATACAAGCCAAAGGTCTCCAAAGCCAGAGTGTCTAAAGAGGAAATGGAAGCAGAATGTGAGACATGGGTGGGTTCAGAATATACAGGCCCTTATACGGCACTTCAGAATATTATCTTTATCCTAAGGACAGTAGGAAATCCTCTATATCAGTTATCTGTTGATGCAACAAAGCACTCCCAAAATTTAGTGCCTTGAAACAACTTTTTAAAACTTAATTTTTCTGCATGATTCTGTGGGTTGGCTAGGAGTTTCCTCTGCTGTTTTCCCCTGGGCTCACTCCTGTGGCTGCATTCAGCTGGCAGGGTAGCTGAACAGGAAAATCTGATGGCCTCACTGGTACATCTGGCTGTTAGTGCTGGCTATTGGCTGGGGTTCCTCAGTTGTTCTCCATGTCGTCTCTTCCGCCAGTAAACTTCCCTACATGGTGGTCTCAGGGCAGTGTTCCAAAGGGACAAAAGCAGAAGCTGCAAGGCCTCTGAAGGACTAGGCTCCAGAACTGACACAACATCACTCCTGCCACATTCTACTAGTCAAAGCAATCCTCCAGATTCAAGGGATAGGGATATGGACCTCAATTCTTTTTTTTTTTTTTTTTTTTGGGAGGAAGATTAGCCTTGAGCTAACACACGATGCCAATCCTCTTTTTGCTGAGGAAGATTTGCCCTGGGCTAACATCCGTGCCCATCTTCCTCTACTTTATATGGGACGCCACCATAGCATGGCTTGACAAGCGGTGCGTTAGTCCATGCCCGGGATCTGAACCCGCAAACCCCAGGCCGCCAAAGCACAGTGTGCAAACTTAACCGCTAGGCCACCAGGCCAGCCCCTGGACCTCAATTCTTGATGGGAGAAGCAGCAAAGTCACATTGCATAGGAATTTGGGGCTATTAAACTACCGCTGCATTAAAAGGTTTTAAACAGGAATGGAAAGGGTGTGTGGCAGGACATGGTTGGGCTTGAGATTTTGAAAGATCACTGTAAGCAGGATGGAGAAGCCTGCAGAAAGCTAGAATGGCTGTGGACAGACCAGTTAAGAGTCTTCTACCAGGGTCTAAGCAAGAGATGTTGGCAACTTGGACTAGGGTGGTGTACTGGAGGTGGAGAAAAGTAGGTGGATTTGAGAGATATTTAGGGAGCAAAATGTACTGAGTTTAATGATAGTCAAGGAAGGTGAAAGCCATGGAGGGATCAAGGATGACACCTAGGTTTCTGGAGTTGGGTAAAGAAAGAGGCAGGAAACACTGGAAGAGATGCTGAATAGGACAGAAAGAATATCAGTTTGGGTTCTTGAAGATAACAAGAAAGATAGTTGAGCAGGTGACTGGATGTCAAGGTCTGAAGTTTAGAGGGGCTTTCGCTGTCAAACACTCTGGGAGCATTTATATAATCAAGGCTACCTTAAAAGATTAAGATTTAATCACCAATTGGAGATATTAAAAGATGTGAAGAGATTTCCAAACACCATTTCAAAGAGAAGTTCCAAAAAAGTTTTGAATTATGATAGCATCATTGGAATAATTAGATATCCCCCAAGTGATCATGAAGACAACTCAGAAGTTCTGAAATGATATAAAATAATTAAAAATGATATACCTCCTCACAAAGGATTAACCTCTAAAGTTTTAACAATCTAGTTAAAAAACAAAACCAGCCCTACATTTCCTGTTAAAGCTAGTAAATGCCAGGGGTGTGGAGAAACCCATCCTGTATTGACCAAGAGAGATGGATGTTGAAAATGCTGAGTACTGAGAAGTTAAAGTAAACACAATATAGGCTGGGGGCGCAGAATAATAATAATAGCTAATACATGGTGTTTACTGTGTGCCAGGCACCATTCTAAGCACCTTATATATACATATAAAATGTATATATAAATATATATATAAATATATATATATATATATATATATATATATATATATAAATAAGCTCATTCAAACCTATTATCATCCACATTTTATAGATAAGGAAACCAAGGCCCAGAGATGTTAAGTAACTTGCTCAGAATGTCACAACTAGTAAGTAGTAGAGGCCAGGATTTGAACTCAAGCCAGCTGGCTCCAGAGTCTGTGCTATGACCCTCCACAACAGAACCTGGACTGCAGGTCCAGGAGAGGAGGGTGAGAAGGCAGCTGGGGTGGCACCATGACGGAATGTGAGCTCTGAGTACTATGTCTTGTTTACCTTTGGCGGAGGTCAGACTCCTGAGTCAGAACTCATGCTGGGCTGCTTTGCTGGAGCCATCATGGTGTGTGGGTGTCCAAGCCTGGCAATTCTGGAAGGAAAGGATTCCCAGCATTCCTAAGGCCATGGTCCTGGAATCTACGTCCCTCTTTAGGCTGAGATGTCAGCTGTGAGCTGAACAGTTTGGGGAGAATAAAATTTGGGCAGCCAGCCTTAAAAGAACACAGATAGGTCATATATAATAAGGAAAATTGAGAGCAGAATGAGAGTTACTGCCGGGCAGCATCTGTTGAAACGTCCAGGAGCCCACTAAAGATTGGACAGAATGTGCAGTGTCACTGGCTTAGGAAGTTCGTTGGGTGGGGTTGTGAAAAAGGATGAGCAACTGAACGAACAGGCACAGAGGGCTGAAG